AACAGAAGGTAATCGGACAATTTCGGATGAAAATGTTCCCAACATGGGCCAAAATCCTAACTGTAGTCAGACATGAGGACTGGACAGAGAAAAAAACATGTTACTACCCGAATGATACCGTAAAATTCCGAAAATACGACCCAGGGCTTATATTTTTCAAAGGCCCATTTTGAAGGGCTTATTTTTGGAGGGGCTTATGTACAGAGGGAAATTTGCGGTTCAAAATTGATTATGCTAGCTTATGGTTGGAAGGAAATTTACAACTTTTTCTTTGTTTTACTTTGTATCTGAGGGCACTGTTTTCACGTACAAGCCCCCGGGGGCTTATATTCGGAGGGGCCATTAAATGAGGGGTTTTTTGCGTTACGGGTTTGAGGGGCTTATACGTGGAAGGGCTTATTTTCGGAATTTTTGAAGCTGGAGAAATGCATACTTAAGTCCCAAGAATGACCAACATCAAATTACTGTTAACAGTATCAACATATCATCAAGGTGAAAGGTTATAAAGAATAATAAAATGATCGCCAAAGGGGAACTGCTTTGGTCTTTTATTAAATTCTTTCAACTTATTCCATAAGGAAATGTATGAAAATCTGTCTGGAGAATTTGTAGGTGGAGATTTGAGCTTATAGGGTGAAAGAAAATATGATGAATTTCTGACAACCTTTCTGACCTGTCTGGGTAAAATGGTCACTTTCTGAAAAGAAACATTACTTCCAACCCTCCATAACTTTATTTATGACATGGAAAAACAGTATAATATTGTTCATTTTTAATACTGTCTTAATCATCCCTTTGTACAAGACTACCACAAACATGAACAAATTAATTACCTCGAGTACTAAACACTTCCAATTAGATTAGAACCATTGAAGATACATGTATTTGAAGCAGTGACAAACATTTTCATGTCCATGACCAGGTAAGTGAAGAACTCACCTGATAATCCAACAAGAACATGATCGTACATTTCACATTTTCTTCTCCTGGCCTTTTCACCTTGAAATCATAAGAAAAAAATATTAAGGACAGGGGTACTGTTTAGTACCTGTAGTTGAGGCAATTTTAACAAACTCACATTGACTGCTTTGTCTTGATTCTTTTAACACAAACATTTCAAGCAAGGTTCACTGATTTTCTACTGTTTCTGAAACTGAAGTTAGCTTCTTTATAATAATACCCTGCCATGCACTTAGTAAGTACCAGTATTGTACATCATAATTTAATTTGAATTCTAAAAGGTCAACACCAATAAATTAAACTTGCAACTGACTGGGTATAACTTTAAGTGGCACCTGAACAGCTTTTGCTCGTTACACCAAAATTGTCAAATGACACAACAGGTGTCACAGCTTTGGAAGAAAAGGGAAAGAATGGATACCTGAAAGCCATCTGTCTCTTGGGTGGAACTTGTTCTATGCCACTGTAAACAAGAACACAACATCACTAAAGGTTTTCTCAGCAACACAGAAAACTGACAACTCGATAAAAATTTAATATAGTATAATATTTAATTTTATTAAAATAAAGATGTTATATTATAACAGATGTTAAGTGGGTTTAATGGCATATTTCTTTTTTAATCATAACTATAACTAAATTCTCAGATTTGACTGGCTATCAACTGTCCTGATTTCAGCACTAATAGGTCATTACGCATCATGCCTAAGTAATCGGACAGTATGCACCATCGCTCCCACACATGCGCGTAAATGGCTTTTTTCACTGCTACCAAAAAATTTCTCAGAATTTCTTGTGTTTTAATTAGAAAAAAAATAAAATGTAGCTAATTTTGTTATAGTTATTATTAATTGGTAACAGAACTTCATGTCATCCAATTTGATCTGTAATCATACTTGTGATTAAACAAATTGGACGACTGCATATTTTGTTAATCACTTGTATGATTACAGATCAAATTGGTCTCCACTCAGTCCCATTACCATTATTTAAAGCACTTGATACCTCTACAAGGTGGTTATCTGGACCATATAGCTCTCTATCCAACTCAATAACAAGACTCTTGAAATAAGTAGAGAACTTGCGTTTCTGCCTGGGGCCATCTGTTTTGGGGGCTTGAGTCTGGAAAAAAGGAAATACTATTTTCAGCACCTTAAGACCATCTTAACCACAATACAATGATACATGAAAAATAAATGTGCTCCAAAAACTCCATTTCACCTTAAGCCTGTCACTACCAAGACCAACAAAATGCAAAAATGTATGAAAAACAAATACAGTAAGTGGCAACTGAAAATGCCATGATTTGGTGCTTGCTTAAAAGGGAGGAAGTGATCACTTGCGAGAAGTGTCCAAAGAGCTATAGTGCTTAACGCCTAGGACTTGGTTTGGATACACAGTTTTTCACTTGAGGTGGCTGCACAATGAAGTTCTGTGCAGGTACAACTTTCAAGCCAACACAGATTTCAGCCTTATATCTTTTTAAAAGATACATTCATCCACACTCAGGCCTGTTTACATAAGTAAAACAAGTCAATCAAAACTTGTTATTGACTCATGTCTGAATTCTTTTACATAAACATCAGAATTTTTAGGACTGCCACGTATTATATCTGTATGGGTTGTTGTTAAACTAAAAACTACTGTGTAAAGTAAAGCATCCTGACCGTAATTGCCATGAACATTACCTCCTCTAAAAGTCGACCTTCAACTCTCAATTCCCATGAAGGGACAATGTTCTCTTCATCCTGAAAACAATGCAAAGCTATTTATGGTACAAGTTTGATTAAAAAGAGTCGCTTTAGGATAAAGAAAATAAATTATTACCTCAATTACTATAACATATAGTTAGAGTCTTACAACATGTATGCAGTTGTGCTTTCTTTAAGCTTGTAATATTCATACAATATTGCTTCAACCTTTGCAAAAACTATTAGATCTAGTAGCTTACTTCATTTTCTGGTCTTGGCACATAAAAGTTAGTCGTCAGGTAAATTCTAAGCTTCTTCTTTTGCTGTAAATAAAATATACAGTATGATAAATGTGTTTACGTGTAAGTTCTAGTCAATTAACGCTGCCCTCTTCACACACAGACACACACACACCTGGAATTGGATGCAACATGCATAGAAGGCATCACTTTATGTATGCTTAGATGGAGACATTACAGGACACAGCTTCTTTTTGAGTAACAATGTGGTAGCACACAATGACAGCCTATACAGGGGATCAGCAAGGGTAGCAAGGGTAGCAAGAGGAAGGGGAAAAGGAAGGAACAGTGGCAAGAGCTCTGACTCCTCTTATACAGAGATGTGAACCTCTGGAAATGTAGACAGAAGACTGTCCTTTTTGCATTACCCTCCCGAACAGCAACAACCAACCCCCCAGCCCCGACTCCGACCACCTGATAAACACAATTCGATCCAGTCCCTGATTCATCACATGGGATGGCTTAGGACATTACATGAAGTCTTACACGAGGTACAGACCATCACAATTCGCTTTTATGATTGTAATGGCGAATTCATCTTTGTCAGTGGTGAAATACGTACAAAAATGCCCCAGAAACCAAACTATAAATCAAAGAAAATTTGAATTTTCGGAGAAAATGGGATAAATTCGAAATTAAAGCACAGAAAAGCTAATGACTCAATTTTATACGGGAGATTTGGTGACCCATATGGGAGACCAAGAGATTGGTGTCATATCCGAGAGACTCCCGGATAATCCAGGAGAGTTGTTGGCACATATGCTTAAAAATGGTCTGATGGATTCCAGGGCCAGAGCCAATACCTCATGTGGGTCAAGTTTGTGGTAGGTTCTCTTCTTTGCCCTGAGACCTTTTTCTCCAGGTACTCCAGTTTTCCCATCTCCATGAACACCAACTTTCGAAAATTCAAATTTGATCAGGAATAATGGAGGATGAAGAATCACTAAATTGTTTTAAAATAAATAATCATTTAGAGGTTGCACATTTACATTTTGGTTCTCTATCCTACCTTCATTGGTCTTTTCAAAGCTTCTTGAATGTCTAATCTCTTACGCATTATTGTAGCATCGAGCTTCCTTTCAAATGCTAGCAGGTCCATGTAAGCTTGGGACTCGGGTACAAGGTCTCTTACCTTAAAATAACAATATTTAGACCTACATGTCAATGACAAAAATCTAACAATACGAATAAAAAATTGTCCAGTCCTTAAGAAGATGAACAGTCTGTTATTAGATACCAGGCTTTAGCAGGGCTCTCAGGATGCGAAGCTCCATTGACCGGAATAAATTGCCTTCTAATCAACAGAGGTTTTTATCAACTAAGATGATTTATAGGGCTTATGAGGGTATTGCTGCTTTACTGCGCTTTTCACAAACATGCGAACTCTAAAGTTCATAAGCCACCTTCACAATTTATTGTGTTTTTCGCTGCCGTCAATCATAATTACGATCACAAGTAACGAACCTTGAAACACACAGAAACACACAAAACGGATTGAAATCAACCAATCACAAATCACAAACCATGACCTTTTGAACCCGTTAAAGTAAAGTTTTGTTTTCTTAAGAGGTCCGCTAAGATGATTGACGGCACCGAAAAACGCAATCGTTAGTTGGCTTTTGAACTTCACAATTCGCATGTTTGTGAAAAACGCAGTAAGTCAGTTCTGTGCTGAAGTCATTACTCAGTGCCTTTACCTGTATACAAAATGCCCCATTACCGATACGAGGAAGATATCAAACAAACTTCACCAGAAGCCTTAACCATAATAATTCTTCTGGCCCCAGATGTTAAAAAAGGTGGATAGCGATATCCAGCAGATAAATCTCTATCCAGTGCATAGTGCAATAATATTATTAATTTCCCTAATACTTATCCATTGGCTAGTGATTCATCCGGTGGATAGCGCTAGCCAGCGTTTGAACAATTGGGGCCTGGTGATTTTTGCAGGAATAGCATTAAAACTCGAATAAGTTGGCCCAATGTTTTCAATTTTGAATCAATGTCCATCTTTGCCATCTGTTGCAACAGACAACGAGAAACAGTTGCAATGCCTAAATATAGTCCTAAATAACAAAACTAGGCCATTATTTTTGGAATTCAATTGATTGAAAAACACATTTTAGCTTTAACAAGATAACAAATGGTATGACATACAGTGTAGCCCCTTTAAGTCAATTTACTACTGTAAGTTGTTGAAAAGCTGATGTTTTGAGCACTAGCCCTTAATCAGAGCAAATCAAAATTAGATACATGTAACCTGCACTGTTTTTTAACTTGTTAAATACTGCTCACCCTTTGAGGCAAGATCTTGTCTGACATTTTCTTCTTCCTTAAAAGAACAAAGAGTCCCTATAGTTAATATAATATTATACTTACACATTATTGTAAAACAACATGGAACCTTAAAAACATATTTCTCATAATACCACTATAAAGTACATTAATACTGAAATTCATGTTTATTTATGAACTTGAGGTAATAAAAATAAAAATAATAATTGTAATAAAGAACAACAAAATTAAATTCATTTTGAAAGGGCTTAAACTATAAAAATGATATTCTAAAGCACCATTTCATACAATAGAATTTCAACTGTAAGAGGTTGTAATACAAATGCCCCTCTACACTGTGCAGTCATTATACACTGTAACTCTGAATCGAAAGGTCAAGGGGGTAGATGTGGATAAATGAATTATTATTTAACTCATTTAAAATTAAATTTTTTGAATCATTATTATTTTTTGGAGCTTATTTTTCACCAATTAATTTTGACGAAGTTTTTACCTTCTTCTGTTCTTGGCATCCTGTCGTCGCCTTGCCTGCTCCAATGCTGCTGCTGCTCCAGGTACCAGGCCTGCTCTTGGAACATTTGGGCCATAAGCATGCATACCTGAAGTTCCCTGTACACGCATTGACATGGCAGCACTTGAGCTGTTAGCTGGACGCTGGTATAGCAAAAATAAAGTTTTAATATTATTTGTCCAACACCTAGTTGCTACAGACACAATGGGTTGATGCAGGATGTAAATGATCTCATAATCAGGGATAACTTTGAGACACTATCTCCTCAAAGAGCTTAGGGATCCTCATTTTTTGCTGTTTCCAAAAAGACTGACTTGTTACGTAATCGCAGCCAAAGTTACTTTTTTACAATGCTAGAATATTTCTAAGCTAATATCCTTAAAAGTCAAAATTATGATTGTTACATTACATTTGGCTTACTTAACATAACAGATCCTGCAAGATAATCATTATAACACTGGCAAATTTGGATAGTAGACGTTAGGCACTTATTACAGTTAAAACCTGCGACTAAGGCAAAATTTGTGAGGACTCATTAGGGTAAAATTCTGACAAGCAAAATGGCCTTGAAACAGTGACATAAGACTGGATAAAAAGGTGACAAATGACATACTGTAATGATGGGTTAAGTACCAAGAGTGACATGGCCTACTACGTAAAATGCAACATGACCGAATATGAAATTCAGACTAGGGACATTATGTTCCCCCACCCCCCCTCAGTTAGAGGGCCTCTTTTTCCAGTTAGGCCTCCTCTACATGTACAAGAACCTGATTAGCCTTAAATTTGAAACAGGTTCTTATTTTCTAAAATCTACCCCAAAAAACCTGAAAACTTGGGAAAATGAGATAAGGTATTACAATACATGTACGTTTTGTTCTGAAGGAGGATTTCAAATTCATATGGTCAGTTGTGATCAGTACTTCTTCTTATGGTCAGTTTTACATAAATACTAATTTACGAGGGGTGACAGCTCTAACAAGGGCTGTTTCGGGAGAAAAACAAATTTATTCCGGGAATCTGGAGATTTTGCCGGGAATCGGGAAACCTGGGATATGTTTCGGGAAATATGAGATGTTTTCGGGACATTGAGCAAAGATTTGATATTACCAAACAATATATACACTGTATATTCAGTGATATGCACCCTGTGTATGCGCTGTATTTTATGTATTTTGACACTTGAAAACGGCTTAATTCCCTATGATATGAAAAGACAAATCAGCAACGTTTCCAACTAAAATAGCATGAAGCTCGAATGCGATTGACCACGTGGAATCCCCAGCGGCTTGACACAAGAACAGTACCGGTGCAAGGCACATACTATCAGTTCACACCAGATCATATCATTTATTAGTTCAGGGGTATTTTTACGCTGCACGTTAACGAGGTAAGAGCACATTCCACTGATTGCATACTGGAGAAGGAAGTAATAGCTGTAAAATAAATGTGTCAGTAAAAGAAAGCCGATAAACCACAACAGGAAAGTGAAAATGCAAGTTGGACTTTTACGGTGTGTTATGACGTTTTCCACATTTTCCCTGAGCAACTAGTCAAAATATAGCAGCACGCGTTAGCATGTTCTTTATAATAGCCGAAAAGTTTTTTCGAAAATGGAACATCGCCACTATGTGTGTTTCTGGCTAAGGCAAGATTTGTTAGAAGAATACAAAGATGAATTTAAGGGAAACAAAAAATTTTGGAAGCTCACAAAAGGATGGCTAAGTCTGACTTGAAAGACATTTGAGCAATGGTTCTGGGTACTAGGTAGTTGGTTTTTCTGAGATGTTATGGTGCCCGTATTAATGCACTTAGAAGAGGCTGTAAAGGATGCTGATCCTGTCGTGGTTACCACCTCCTCAAATGTGCGAGGAGGAAGAGGGAAGATTGATGGACTCTTCCTCTCTCCCCCCTTCCCTCCAGCCCTCACTTAGCTACGCCCTCCCTGAGGAGAACCATTTGAAAGGTTAACAGAATGGCATGAAATCGAAGAGAGTCGCGATTTCTTACTGATGGTAAAAAGAATTTATTTACGAAACAAATATAGTTAATCACAGCTGAGGTAATATCCAAGTCCCTCAAGAGCTCAAGAGATGTCATTTTAACAAGCCTCAGAATCTCGTTATCTGGAAAGGTTTAGGAAATGGAAAATTTACTTGTCAAGGGGAAGGGTTTCCCAACCTCTAGACAAGGAAATTGGACGACTAGTACCGTTCAAAGCACGTACCTCCAGGCCCTCTAGGCCCGTCTTTCAGCGTAACCAAGTTGCCCCACTGAATAGTGAAATAACGCATCTAATTTATGTATCATGCCTTGATGGCCTTAGAAATGACATTTTTCACACATCAAACACAAACAAACTAGTATAAAACAGGGTTGTCATTAAGAGCCGGGGGCCGGGGATTTTCCCCGGCTACTAAGAGAGTGGCCCCCGGCTACTTTTATTGGAAAATAGAAGAAAAATAGAACCAAAAGAAATCCCTAGCTGTTTGATTTCCCCGCCTACTTGTTGTGTTAACCTGGCAACTTGAAATCTTAGTGACAACCCTAATAAAAGCAACACTGGATAACTGTGGACATGTTAGCAGAATCTGGTCAGATGAATTAGATAGATCGCTGGCCATTGCCCACAACACATTCTATACAGCGACCAGGACGCCCGTGTCAGTGGCACCCTTGCAGTACCGTCATAGAAGACCTTGCTTCATGTCAGATGCTGGCAATTTTTGGCATCTACAGAGCTCGAACACTAATCGAGGTTCTTAGAAATTTCCGGGAGGCTTACAGTAGGGCAGAGAAGAAGTTTGGCGACAAGCACCTCATGAGTTATCACAACCACGTTTACCATAGGAAGAGTACAGCGCTTTTTGTTTGTATTTCGATCTCTTGAAACATGACACACAGTTATCAACAGTAATTAAAACAACAGTTGAAAACTTGAAAGAAGTACGTAAGAAAAAAACGAAAATCATTTAACCTTGTTAAATGCAAATTAGGCAATAAAAAGAAGTATGTCTGCGAAGACTCTTTAATCATCCTGATCTCGTCGGGGTCCTTCCGAGTTTGCTCGAGAATCCCAAATCCTGATCAATATGCTTTCGGAATAAGAAAATTTCAGATTTTGACAGTTGTTCTGAAATTTTCAAATGAATTCCTATGATACTCATACAATGACACCACACAGAGTATACTCAGCTGAAAGTGATATCCGGAGCAATTTCAAAAACCGCACAACTTGTATAAAATAAAATCGACTACTTCTTCGCGAAGTCACGCCAACAAAAATAAGCATAAAAAGGACAATTGAATTAGAGAACATTTTGGACAGAATTTGTTCTCTCAGAACACTAAAAATGGCATTTCAGAGCAACAAGATTTCAAAATTTTCTGGGGGAGCATGCCCCCAGACCCCCCTAGTGGTTGGCCCCTTCGGCGCTCACCTGATTCGTTGGTGATTAAAAAACAGAACAACACAATTTTATATACTTAAAAAGTTGGACAGTGTTTCTGTGTTAACATGATACCCTCTAAACGAAAAAATTACTAAGGTTAGATAATTAGCAAGTTACATAATTAACAAGAAGCTGCAAAAAATCTCTAATCAAAATTTTAATTTTAATTGTTAAAACAATTTTGGGAAGTTAAACATTTATGGGGAATAGCACCGAAAAATTTGGGAGGGTCGACGAAAATTCCGGGAGGACATAAAGTTATTCATAGGACTGCCCAAACAGCCTTTGTTAGAGTTGTCGCCCCCCGTCTAATTTAGTATGCTTATTTTAGATAAGGAATGAGCTGAATACCAATGCATACTCCTAGTGCTCTAAAATCCATTTTTTCTCCTTAGAAAATATAATCCTATATTTAAGAACCTTAGCAGCCTAAGTGAAAGTTTTTAAGAACCTGTTTAGACTAACTTAGCACAGGAAATTGTCTTGTGGAATCGTTCGATGCAATTCAAAAGACGAATTTTAAACGGCACATGAATTAGCATATATGATTTTTACAGGCTTGAGAATCATCGGGAGAATTGCCCGCTGATTTTGTCAAGCGAATCAAATTGTCCCGGAATCATATGTGATGATGACTGAAGTTCTGCTAAATCATAAGTGATGATTTTTTCAGCAACATCAAAATCATTCGTGGAATCATAACGTATGAAACCGTGAGTGTCTGGAATCATCACCAGGCGATTCGCTGCTGTTATGAAATCATTTGTGGAATCATAACCTTGTGTCCAACAAAAGGGAACGTTGGATTCACGAGTGAAAGATCGGTCGTCGAACTGTCATAAACCGAACTAGGATCAGACGAATTTGAAACGAAGACAAATATGAAAAGTGTAGCAAAAGAAGTCTTGTAGTTCCTAGCGTGCGCGCATAAACTAAAACTTGAAAGGGGCTTGGTACGAGATTTGACCGTGTACCTCTGATCTAACACGAAAATCCTGTTGTATTTTATTGAAACTTTCAAGTTGAAATCGTTTAATCTGAAGGTAGTTGAAGATCGTGATCATCCATGGATGCAGGCCGGACCTTTTAAAGGTAAACTTTCTTGCTTTGCTTCATAAATAAAATGGTAATACATTTACATTCAAGTGATGGTACTCATAACAGAAGCTTGTTAACGTCAAAAACATGTGTATACTACCTGTATACTGTTGCCTTTTGCTGGTTGGGTAATTTATTTAACACAAAGAGGCCTTCACACACACAAAAAAAACAATACCACTGATGTTATAATTTGTATAATAGCAGGAAGACCTGTTTTACATCAAACTAAATAAAACAGCTCATTTTGTATAGCAGAAAATAACACTAATTTGCATATTTTTTGGAGTAAATTTGACAGAATATTGAATAACAATATCTATATTAATTATAACCTTAAATTAATTTAAACTATAAATCACAATTTACAATGGTGATTTGAACAATGCACAAAGTAATTAAGTGTATAAAATCATTCATTTGAGTTAAACAACATTTTAAATGACACCAAACCAGTTAAGGTATATGATTATTATTATGATGATTGTTGGTGATAGCCCCCATTCAATTATCCCCATCATTTGAAATCTGGATTACCCCTGGGGTCAAACAGGTCCAAATTAAAATGAAACACAAATATTTTAATTAATCAGAGCTGTTCTCTAGCAGAGCCCATTGGCTCCTAGTGCCTATAAGAGGGGGCTGAATAGGGGTATGCAAATCCGCCGATCCGTTATGATTTATTGGCCAAATCCGCCGTTAAAATTTCACCCTGAATCCGAAATCCGGGCAAAAACATTTTTATTACACGCAAAGTCCAAAGTCCGGGCCTAAAAAGTCGATGAATCCGCAATCTGCTGCAATTACAGGATCCGGAAATCCGTTAAAATCTCGCTTTGAATCCGAAATCTGGGCAAAAATATTTTCAAAATCCGCCGATCCATTCGCCTATTCACCCCGCTCCTATAACTCTTGCTCTCAAGCAACTTGAAAGTCTTACTTTTTTCATTCAAATCATATGCCGGGCACCCTAGGTGTTACAGCCTTAGAGCACAGCCTTGAACTTTAACAAAATGTTGCGTTTAAGTGACAATGAGTTTTTAAGATCCAGACTTGATCAAACAACACAGAAATTTTGAAATGTTAAGTACAATTTGTTCTCTTATTTTACTTTTTTGTACTTGTCATAGATATTGACTATCAGTCGAGAATTATATATAGGCCTGAACACCCAACAACTGATTTTTTTAAAGGCAGGGCTGCCACCAGGGGCCAAGGAGCAAGCATTTTACTTTTGAGCATGATCCTTGGTTACTTTTGTAGGGAAACAAAGGCAAAATGGAACCAAATGCAAAGAACTTTCTAACTTTTCGATTCCCCACCTTTTTAAATATGAACTGTCCGTAATAGAGACGTGTCCGTATTATAGAGGTGTTTATAAGGAGAGGTTAGACGGTAATGTCTAATGGTAAACTGATGACATCACATGTTTAGGAAGAGCCCAATGAGAGTGGATGCACATTGACAATTTTGGGCAGCTCATTCAAATGTATTTTCAAGGGTTCTTTTTTGCCCATTTGGTACTTTTTCAGTTTGCAGACTTTTTTGTCTACTTTTAAAAGTGCATGTTTCACAGAGTTTTGGATCCAAAATTCAAGACTTTTTCCAGACTTTTTCCAAAACAAAAATTATTATTTCTCTTTCCAGACTCAAGTTTATCAAATAAAGGTGACAAACAGAGACCTTTAAAAAACACACTGGAATCAAGCTTTTCTCATGATGCACTATAGTAATCACAGTGCAAAAAAGTTACCCTTTTTTCCTGTCCTTTTTATGAACAATGCCTGTTTAAGCTTTCCAAGCCCTTTTCTGTTCACTACAAGGCCAAAAAGACTTAAACCTATCGAAAATGTTGTTTCTTTTAGTTGGTAAATAGATAAAGAATACAAAATGTGAGGTGCAAAATGTGTTTTCCTATAGGAATTGCAGGTTCTTGGTCGCAGGTTTCAATGTACTATTTATTTTAGAAGCGGAAACTGAAAATTCTAATTGGGAAATTAAATGTTGTGTACTATTCCATTTGGAAAACTTAATTAAATCAACACTGGATTTTTGTCTATAAAGGAATAAGTCCGTAAAACTTTGTTTTACAAATGTGATGTGAAAATATCCCTCGTGCGTGTTCAATTGACATAATTTCAAATGACCTAACAAAGAATTAAGGTAATCAATAAACCAGAAACTCACCGTCATTCCATATGGTGACTGTTGGAATTGAGATCGCTGAAACATAGAGGCTTGTTGTGGATTATTCGCCATTCTCTGCATTGAGGCAGAAGCTGGAAAACGGGCCGCCATATTGGTTTTACACAACAAAATAATCCCACAATGCAATGTCAACGCACTTTTTTATCGTCGGAATAAGTCGTTCGTCTTCGGTAGAACTTGTTATGATCGGAAAAGTTCGATTAGCGTTCGTAAGAGTTTCTTTCAGTTTCCGCGTTCGTTGACAAGGAACCAGGTGAAAACAGATCGACAAGGAAGAGAAGTGTTGAAATATTTTGGTTTTCGTGCGTCGAGAAATTTACAAAATTGGTATTGCTGTTGCTGATGTACAAGAATGAAGGTTGCATTGGTTTGTTTGATAATTCTGTATATAGTGAGAGAGGTAAGGGTTGGTAAGATATGAACGTCATGTTGTTTTACAGTCTTCATCAGAGCTACGATATAATTATAGGAAGATATCAGTCATGCAGTGAGAATTAATTGCTCCGTTCTGGTTCAGATGTGACAGATGGCATCTTTTTACTCCCCGTCATTAGGATTTTGTCAGTGAGGGCATTGATTTTTCCAAATAAGCGTATAATTATGTTTCCTGGTGACAAAACAGTACAGGGATCGAAACAAACTATGACGTAGCAATATAAAGCTTATTTGGGAGTCTTCAGAGACTTCAGAGCTACGAGTAAGGGAGTAATTGCAGAATACCCTGCCACTTCGAAGCTGTATCCCTGAAGAAAGAGCTGGATGTGTGGATACGCAGTTATCCCTTTTATGCGCTTTTCTATCTTCAATAATATCTTTAAGAACGACAAAATTAATAGTCATACTGTATGCTTTTTATGCTGTCTTAAGTGTATATCAAAGTGGATACGCGGCTACGTAGTGACTACTAGAAATAACCAAAGGTTACGGAGGGTAGGCAGCAACGATCGAGGGGCAAAACGCTTTTGCTCCAGTGCTGTGCTTTGTGTAAGTTTCACCTGACAGTTGGTCAAAACTGCACGCGTGATCAAAATACGAGTGATAGAAGGTCCAAATGTGCATGATCAAATTGCGTTCTGTGCATTTCATTCAGTGTCAGAGTATCTGCGTATCCACCTATTTTTGTGGCAGGGTATTCTGCAGTTAAGCCACGAATAATTTTGCAGAATGCCAAGTAGCCGGGGAAGGTCAAACGACTTTGAAGTTTAGTGATTAAGGTTAGGAAACTGAGTGAATCAGGTTTCATTTAGGGTCATTATGCTGCGAAAAACTTACCTGAAACTTGATTCACTTAGTTTCCTTACTCTAACTGAGCCTGGTGGATAATTGTTTGGTGAGTATAATAATTATACTGAGTAATTATTACTCAGGTGATTATCAGAGACAAAAGGGAAACCCACGGTTCAAATTTTTATTTTGTTGATTTACACCATAATGTTTTATGCACTTAACAAAGAAGCTACGTGATCGAAACAAAAAGACTTTTTTAAGAAACTATGCTTGTGTGAACTTGAGTTTGTATATGTGAACGTGTGTATTAATCCTGAGTAGGTAAATGTTGTTACTGTTTGTTTGTAACTGTGCCTGGTGGTGGACTGAAGGTAGCCGGTCAAGTTGCCGGAAAGTCATTTCGCCCGAAGTATTGTCACCCGAAACCTGAGTTAAGTGACCCGAAATAATGCTGAGTCATGTCACCTGAATTTTATCAGGTGAAGTGCACAGAGAAACAAAGTTTTTTTTGTTAAAATTAATAACGGCAGTGTGTGAAATATGTCTTGTTCAAACCATCATGAGACAAAACAGGACAAATGAATGTGTAACATACCTCATTCTTTAAGCGATGATGAGACGAAACAAGTGGGATATTATGTGTAATATATATTACTCTTTAATCATTGATGAACAACGAAACAAGCATGATAAATGAGTATTATTATTCATTCAAAATATTTCCCCAATTCTGATTGGCTAAAAGCACATGCATAATTCACCATAACCAGTTACTGATGACCATGCAAATTTGGAAGAATTTTGTGTTTAACGAGGAAATGACGTCAAAAATGCAGCGTTCTTGCAGGTTTATGCACAGTTAGCCGAGACGACCTGGGGACGAGGTCGAGTTGTTTTGGTTGTGAAAACAAAAAAAGGCGGACATTTCACTCATTTCAAAGAGAGAGAACTAGGCAAAATTATAGCTAAAAACATGGCAAGAGCAGCAAGAACACAACTCGAAGGGTGACATCTGCTGTTTGGGGAATATTTGCGGAGCTGAACAACCCTAAACGTGCACTTAGTCGAAGGTGAACTTTAACATCGATGGAGGTAAGCATGTTTTAGCTTTGTTTTTAAACTAGGAATTATTTTGAATGAGTTCTTGGAGGGTGTTATCTGCCTCGGCCTACAGCCTCAACGGATAACACCCTCCTCGATCTCCATATTTCGATCTTCATAAGATACTCAGCCTCATTCATTAATTGTCAAATATATCTCGTTCTTTAATCTTCGATGAGACAAAACAAGCATGATAAATGTGTAATAGGGATGCTAGGATGTTGTTGAGCATGATAAAATTTTGAGCCACATAACTCAGTATTTTGAGCGACTCGACTAAAAATTTTGGGTGACATAACTTTGGGCAAGGTGACTTTCAGGCAACTTGACTTACCATTTTTAACTATCTATTTGGGCAGTTCCTTGCATGGGCCCTTATAGTGGTCTCGTTTGTGCTTGCCGCTTTGGGTATAATACCTTTTTTTTTCTTCTATCTCATTTTTCATTTCTTTTGTAAAAAGTTTTTACATAATTATGTATATATTTATAAAGTTAAAATGAAACGCAATAAAACTGTTGAAAAATTTAAAAAAATAAATAATAATAACAATAATCATAATAAACCAGACAAAACACTGACCCAGTGCATGGACTATCCCCATGGACTACACTGCCGAAGTATAGTGATTAGGGTTAGGAAACTGAGTGATGAATCAGGTTATAGGGTCATTATACTGGGAAAACTGACCTAAAACTTGACTCACTCAGTTTTCAAATCCTAATCACTAAACTAATTCAGCGGCATAGTCCATTTCAGGGTAGTCCATATGGGAAGTCCACGGGGATAGGCCATGGACCGGGTGAAAAAGAAGAAACTTTTGCTAACTTTGAGTTAATTTATTTTTTTGTTGGCGGTTTACTCACTCTCATAAGGTAAAGGGCTTCAAAGCAATCAAAACTTTCAACAGTTTGCACTCAATCTCGTACAGAGTCAGCACTGCAGAGATCACTAAAATCATCCTGCTAGGAGTGCATTTAACAACAAATGATATATTGCAATCCTCAAACAATCAGAGTGCGCAAATCTCTGTAATCACCTGAGTATAGTTACTGAAATACAGTGTGTATTGATAACTCCATACAGAAGCTAGGCTGCTCCTCTCGTTTTCAGCAAAGCCAAATATATAGTTTTTGTTTTTAATTTTTTCAGTCCTATGGCTACAAATATTGCAGTTACAGTAAAAGAACAGTGACCTACTATTACAGGTGAATATGATTTTAAAAATTTATGCTTACTAACACTTCTTTCTGTTACAGTTAAAACTTATGGGTTACCGTAGGTCAGGTTGAAATTAAATGGTAAGGCGCACATGAGCCAAAGGCCCCCAAATGGTCGGAGCTTTGCCTAGGAGTGTTGGTACTCCTCCCTGGATGGGATATTAGGGAGTTTAAGATACTCCGACTACGGACTACGGCTATGGATAAACATGCTACTGCGCATGATCAAAACCACGTGACTGTTCATTTTTCCCGCGTAGTCCTGCGGCTACGTTGAGTTGTTGAGCTGTTTCGTGTAGTCGGGACTACGGAGAACATTTTGCTCGTATTTTGCCGTCTCGGTAATTCAAGAATCTCGTCTTTTCATAAAAAAGGTTCAATTTGCCTGCTTTAAGTGAGAGGGAAGCGAAATATGTAAGTTGTGTCTAATTTCTGCTCCGATTTACGCTTTTAATCCACCGTTGTGACTACATTTTTATCTAGCTAAGCTCATATTTAAAGAAGCTTAGCTGTTTATACGCAGAATTCCGATTGATGGCTGAGGAGAAGAGAAATCATGCAGATAATTTACTTTCTCTTCACACTTGAAAAGTTTCAGTGTTTTTTCGAACTGATTAGTGTGTCTTTCTACTTGTGTGACCTTTGTTTATGCGAGTTTTTGTATCGCATTTGCTGAATGAAAATGATGTCAACATCTTCGAGACAATCAAAACTGGGCATTTCAATACTTCAAACTACATCAGATCAGTAGTCGGAGAAGTCCATCTTCTACATCTTATAAATGAGCTATTACTATTTCTGTCTATTTCTTTAATAATGTTACATAAGTATTCATGGGCGAAAAAAATAAAACCTGTGCAACCAAAACTTTGTTTACCAATTTCACCCGAGCTACGGTGATGGAACAAGGAGTAAAGTTGTAGGCGAATCAACTTGTACGTGAATCGACTTGTACGTAATTGCTTCCTTCAAGTATGGAAGAATTTGTTCATTGTTCTAAAGATAAGATCACATGCAAAACTGACTTGCATTTTTGTGAACTGTGGTGAAAACAAGAAAATTTTTGCGTGTTGTTTCCCTCTCTGCCTCTTCTCTCGTAGTCTGCCTTCTGTAGTGGAATCTTAACGTTTCATATTTGCACGACTCAACCCAGTGCTACAAACAAACGACAACGTAGTTCGCCGTAGTTCGTAGTCCGTAGTCTCCGTATCTTAAACTCCCTATTAGTCCATCGCAAGGTTACCTCCCAGCAGTATGCTGCTTGTTTACCCACCAGCTACTTTGGTTAGCCTGCCTACTGAAAAATGGTGGCATGAAGTAGGGGCCTAGTGTGTATTGAAAAGTGTTTTTTTTTCTTTTTGCTAGCTGTTCAAGTAATCAGTATTGTTGTGGAGTTAGCAGCTGTTGTACCTATGTGTATGCACGCTGGTACCTCTGGTAAGTGACTTTATTTACATCAGAGATGTTGCTTTGTTGTAATTTAATGTTCTTGTTTAAAGGTACTAAGGCAAGTTTAAAGCTTTGGTACTTATCACAGTAAAGGATTATTTCTGCAAAGAAGGTGCTTCTGGCAGCCACTATCAGTCCAACAATTCTGCCGCTACCTGTTCGTAATTTTTTTAAAAGTCTTTTAACACTTCTATGAAAGAGGCTATAATACATGAGTTCTCGTCAGGTGATGAAAATAGTTCAAAACTGCCTCAGAAACCTTACTCATTGGAAACATTGCACAGAAAAGCACAGAAAAAAGTTAAGATTTTATTTTATGCAGTGGGAGATTTGGTAATCTAAGTGGGAGACCAAGAGATTTTCTTATTTCTGGCATATATGCACGCAGTGAAGTAGTTTATGACAATGTTAGTCAAAGTTGAATTTAATTGGTATCGCATCTTACAAAATAACATAAAATAGATCACCAAATTGGTGACTAAATTTTTACTGTAGTGATAGTTGTGATAATATTTTTCTTCTATAAATTATATTACTCTCACCATGGAGCAATGTGCTCGATGATCCTGTTCGGCTTGGTTTGTCAAAGGATGTTTTAACCTGGGATTAATTTTTTGAAGTTGGGTTCATGTTCTTACAGACTGTTTTGTACTGCTCAGTCACTTTGGGTTAACATAGCTGGACCTCTAAGCTGGAGACAAACAATACTTGATGAACTTCACTAATTTACTCGCTTCTAGATGAGAAAACTCCATTTCATACTGGATTAACGTTAACTACCTTTCGAGAGCAACCAGGCCCAGAAAGTTAATAATTAATTTCTGAACTCTTGCAGGTTTGTCATCTCGGCAATTTTTTTGTTTGTGTTTATTCTCTGGTGGTACTATCGCTATCGTTATCGTCCACGTCACATCATCGTTCGTCAAACCACAGGGGTAATTACATCAGGTGCCCCTGGGGTTATTGCTGGCGGGGGTGTGAATGTTGTGAGGGTAAACGCCCCTTACCCCACCTATCCGCATCCTGGTACAGTTACTGTTATGCCTGGCAGCGGAAGTGTGCATAACGCAGCATATCCTCCTCCTGCGTATGGCCCTGTGCAGACTTATCACCCTCCACCGCCAGCTTATTCCAGTGTTGTGAAAACCAGTGCAACTGTCACTTCAACCACAAATTGATTAACACATGCAAGAAAACCAGGGTTGTGATAAGTCAGAATATATGGAGCAGTTTGCAATAATTTTTTTAACTATTTGAACATGAAGTAGAAGTAATTGAAAACAGGAAGTTAAGTTAATCACTCATGGTAATCACACCAAGCACTTAAATATTAAGCTAAAACTATGCAGTTTAATTACTTCAAGCCTAAACTCAATTCTGTAGTAAAGCCCTCTAAGAGAGTGCATTTTGACATAATTTCTTGTGTTTAGGAGAAAATGCTGAGTGAATTCACATACAAAGCCTATACAAAAACTCTTTTCAACAAATTCCTCTGTGTCCCTTACCTTCCAAACAAAGGGCGAGGTAATTTTTGGGAATTTTTTCAAGTCAGATCATAGTTGAAGTCGTAACTACCGCCCAGCGGTGAACGGAAAGCCTTAAAAAATATCAGGATTGTACGGGATTCTAACCCTAATGACCTCCGCATGCTGGTTAATTACTCTCACCATGAATTGAGCTAACATTGCCAACAGAGAGCTGGCCAGTTTAGTCAGTTAATTGCCTGGGGGGGGGCTCATTGTAAAAGGATCCCGAGGAGGGTGAAGGTGAAATTATGAATATGTGACATTCAAGCAGTCAGTAATGTAAAGAACAGCATCGCATTTATAGACAAAAGTTATGTAGTTGTGAAATTTGAAAGCCTGAAAGAAATACAGGCTTGTACGGGATTCACCGTTCAGGGGCACCCAACGACGGTTTCCTCCGACATGGATTGAAAAGTCTTCTTAGGCTATCCAGAGTTTGACAGAATACTTCTAGATATCTAGAAATGTATCTAAGCGGCGCTTTAAAATTTGTATCTGTTCAATCATCCTAGGGGAACTTGTGACTTTTTGAAGTTACAAGGCTTCAGTGTTATTTTTCCAAAAATTTTAGATACAATCGCATGTTTTACGAAACTGAGAGTTTTTCTTATTCTTCTCTCCATCACATTTTTAAATTCGAAAATTTTAGTTTTCCTTTTTCTATGAAAATAAGCCTTATAAAAAGGAGTAAAATCCTGGTAAAATGTGAAAAAATAAACTTCAGTAAATCGTAGAGAATTTTTTAGATAAGCTTCAAGAATTGTACCTGAATGGAACGCTCACCTAGAAATTATTAGCCGTTTTTAAACAATAGAAAATTGTAGGCAATACTTGCTTCTACTGCAAACAGATATGTTACAGAAAACAGTCGGTGGGTGCCCCTGAACGTTTACTCCGATGCCAGTGCCTTGAGCTAACAAAACAACCGTGGGTTTGCAGATTTAGAGTCACGTGACTACCCTAAAATGTGAGTTTCAAGTTGATAATTTCTCAAATAAAGAAATGAGCAGATAAAAGCAGTTCAAAATAATTGTTACGGATCTTTTGTGTAGATTTATAGAATGAATAGCAAACCAAGAGTTAAGGGAAAAATTGGTCACGTAATTCTAAAATGATGTTTGCCGTAAACGCGATGCTCCCTTTTTTATTTACACTTCTCTCTATAAAGTTCTTATCTCTTAAGGAAAGGGCAAACATGATGAAGGTGGAGCGATTAAATTTAATAACATAACTTAAAAAACACAGAGAGTTCTCAACTGCTGCTGCTGCATATAGTTTTATTTGTTGTCCCTATCACATTTTAATTGTAGAGTTTTGAGCATTAGAATGGGACCAATAGCTACAGCCATGAGCATCTGAAAGTAATTTGTCTTTCTTCTTAGGTTTACGTTGTTTTGATTATAAAAAAGCTGCAGTAAATTATAACTTAAAATCCGAATGTAAGAATTTAAAGAAAAAGAGGTTAAAAAACGGCAAGGTTGTTTTTAGATTATATTTTATAGCAAATAAAAAATGGGCTAAGATTTTAGCACCAATGTGTTCAAGGTTAAACGAAGCATAGCGAAGGCATAGTTTATCGCAATTATTTTATGGTTAAATGGTTAACAAAGTTGTCTTTTATGCGTTATTATAAAATATTGTTAGTTTAGAATATCTTATGGTCTCCATATGTATACAAGCTCAAACAATGCTGTTTATCGTTGAGTAATCTAATAACGTATTCTTTTAGTGATGACCACTTTGTTCAAGAGCGTACAAAGTTTGTAAGTTTGTAAAAATAAATTAATTTTGCCATGCAATTTCCAGAAACTCCTATTTGTGTTGTTATTTGTATTGACATCTTTTTTTGTAAGTAGTATAGTAGGGACCAGTTACTCTTTTTTGAGGAGAATCTTAGGCACTTTACATTCAACTTAAACTTCCGGTTTGAATTTTTGGCAACTTCCGGTGGCGAGTGGAACAGCATTTTCCGGAATTTCCAAAAAAGGGGGCAACCTCACGAGGTATACCCAAATTTTTGAAAAATTTTTTTCCCCGAAGTTTTCTTTCCATTCAACTTTGCTCCCAAAATTTCTAGAATTTTCGATTGAAAGGATCGCATTTCGGATCTCAACAGTTTCCGCAATTTCTGGAAACTTTTTTGGAAAATTTCTGTACCATTTGCCGCTGTTTCCAAATGTTCGAAAGTTTTTGTTGAATGGAAAGCGCCTCTGGTTTATTGTATTCCCTCCTTCTCTTCCACTTCATTTCTATAGCTTTCCCTCGTCCGTCTTATCATTTCTACTGTTTTCTCTCCTCGTCCTCAAATCAATTTTTATTTTTTCCCTCCTCCTCCTCATTTTTGTTGTTGCTGTTGTTGTTGTTCTTCTTCTCTTTCTTCATTTTTGTTTTTCCTCATCCTTCTCCTCCTCTATTCTAATGTTTCCTCTCCTCCCCTCCTCATTTTTTTTGTTTTCCCTCCACCACCACCACCACATTTCTATTGTTTTCCCTCCACCACCACCACCGCCACATTTCATTATCTTTTCCGCCACCCACACCAGACAGGTTATATGGAAGGTCAGAAGGCCAAAAAAATCAAGAAGAAAATAAGAAAGGATTTCCTGGTAATATTGTGCTGAAAGTTGTAGTTAGCTATGTTTCTTACGTCGATGACTGAACTGTCCGATAAAAGCCCCCCACAGTTAACTGGCGGAGAGGTGCAAGAAAACTAGGTCGATGATTACATCTTTAATTTGTCGTTTGAGTCTTTCCCGACCTAACTCAGATCATGTGAACATAGTAAGCAGTTAGGCGAAAGTCATGGCAAGGTCAAATGCGAATCCAAAAGCACACGGAAAGGACTGAATACGACTTGCAGTGTTCAATTTGACAACCTGTATTGGCCACTTTGACACTAGACTGCAAAAGAGTCGTTTTTTCTCTAAATCAGTAAAGAAATCGGTAAAGCGTGGCGAAAGAGTCTTACACGCGCGAAGCGCGCGTTCCTCACACGCGCGAGAAAAAACCGTCTGTCCCCAGTCTCACTGTCCGTTTTCAGACTCGTTTCAGACCTTTTGTTTGACTGCTCGAGCTTACAATACGGACTGTTTTGCAGTCTACTTTCACATATGAGACGGGTTTTCTTTCAGAGACGGCCAGAAAGATGATTCGTATCAACAAACTACAAGGTTCACTTCAAACAAGTTTAATAAACAATACTGGGTCAATGCTACAAGAAATAAAATTCTATCCAAAAGTTGTGCTCGTAACAAAAGATTATAAAATCTTCAAAACAAAGGAATACGGCATGACACAATGCTACTAAACTTGGTGGAACCAACAAATTTCTCGAAGTAAATCATTTGTAGACGTCTATAGCAAAGAAGCATAAGGAAAGTATAACAGACAGAAGAAAGCAAAAAATTTAACGCAAGTGTAATGTAAAGGAGGCCTCTATTACGAACAGTTTTGTGGACCTTTTTAATAACATTCAGCTTTCAACAAAGATGCTTTCAACTGAGTTTCGTGAAAGAAAACAAAACTAATTCAGCTAGCCCGAACTGACCAATAATAACTCATATGACAAACAGATACACCAATCACTTCTCGAAGCGCGGGACCGAGGCGTGCTACCAAGTCACGATTAGTCTTTTGATTGGCTGAGAAAGTGGTTCGACAATTTTTCAACCAATCACAAGCTGTTGCAATCGCGAAATTACCCTTGAAATCCAACTACAACTTTGTTCTAAGGGGCCGACCATTTAACTCTTGAGGGGGAGGGGTGGGTGATTTTGAAAAAAAATTTCCTGCAAGCGCTTGTCGGAAGAAAAAAATTGCATGCAGCACAAATGTAATAGAGAGCTTATGGGAAAAAAAGGGAAAAAAATATCCTGCCCACCATATTGCTAGGAAAAAAAATTCTTGATGACCAGAAATCACCCACCCCCACCCTCAAGAGTTAAATGGTCGGCCCCTAAGACGAATTTTTATCTTCAGGAACGTGAATGAAATTTTTAAAAACTGTAAATTGAGAAGTTATCCTGAGGGTTTTGCAAATACAGTGAAAGCTCTCCTAAAATAACGGACTCTCTCGTAAGCGGTCAGCTCTACTTACGGCCACCTTCACAAAACCCCGTTTTTCTCAACTCTCATACAAACTCTGTATTTTCACATTCTCGTAAGCGGCCAGCTCCAGTTATTGACATCTTTTTCGCGTCCCGATGGTGTCCGCTTACGAGAGCTTCCACTGTATTTTGAACACTTACTGGATAATGACGATCCCATTTCATTTCAGACCGAGACATAAAATACACCGTTTCTGTGTACGACTACAGGTGCCGGGATATAGCTACAAATACGGGTAAATTGCCACTTTCCCCGGAGAATTGGCTACGCTCCCGGGTTAAACAAAGATTCACGTTCGCCTACTCGTAACCGTAGAAAGAAACGGTGTAACTTAAGGTCCCTAACAGCTGAAATATATCTTTTCATAAGGTCCGTATAGTCATAGACTGAGGCTGGTTTGACGTCTGCAAAATGAAACATAAGTCAATTTCCATTCTCAACCACGAGCTTTGACTTGTTTCACTTTGAATGGATTCATTTTCTTCCTTTCCTTCTTGTGTTCTCCCCTATTGAAAACAACAATAACTATAATATATAGATTTAGCCAGGGCTAAAGTCGCGCGGTCGTCCGCTGCCAATGGGTAAAAAACAGCCATGTTCAATTTCGATTGGTCACTTTTCGAGTTGAGGTACAACGAGGTACATTGTCATTCCTTGAAATTATATCCCTTCCTCTCTACAAAAATTATAATGTTTCACAGAGCCTCGACTATTGTAGCAGGAAAGTAACACATTTCTTGAAGTACCCGACCGTGACAGTGAAAATAATACCTTCATCATTAAAATTCTCTCTTTGTCCTGAAAATAATTAAGGCATTTAATTATACATTAATAGCATGGAAAATTCGCTTAGTACAATCAAAAGGAATGAAATAAAACAACCTCACTTCAAGCCGTCAAACAAGCTCTTTTGAAAGGTCGAAAATTCACCTCCGACGCTCACGATGCATCCAAAATGGCCACGTTACACGTGAAAAACCACGAAAAATTGCCGCATGGAATCATGGGAAGACTGCATAATCCTCCTTTAGCCGAACTAAGTACATAAAAAGTTCGGCGTCTGAATCAATAACGAACACCTGTTTCAATTTGGAACGGCTCAGCCGTTCTTTTCGCCTAGCCCGGCCGGGAATTTCGCCTCTGGAGCGACTTTGAAACAGCTTTGATTCAGACGCCGAAATTTTCATAGACCGAACCTAATGCATAAATTATTATGACGTATTTTGTAAGCAGTTTGACCGAAATAAGCATTTTTCTCCTTTTGAATTCAGTTCGGCTGGGATTAAGATTGGCGTCTGAATCAATTCAGCCGGTCTAAATAATTTGGGTCTGCCTTAATTCGAATTAGGTTCGGCTCATGAAAAGGTTCGGCGTCTGAAACAGGCCTTAGTTGAATGAAAAATCTGGAAAGGAAGGACGCTGTGCTTAAACTTAAATTAATCTCGACAAGTACTGTTTTCGCTTTCCCTCGCTGTGACTGTGGAATATAACGCTGGATAGGTCTAAATGATTACTTGCCAATTTCGTTTCCTTTCTCCACTGAATCAGAGCTGTACAAAGACCCAGCTTCATTAATCTTTTTGTTGTTGTTGTTCAATGGAAAGCCGCTCGTTGTAGGATTAACTTGAGCCCCGTTATGGACTTGCGAAAGTGTTAAGAGGTGTAAAAGCTCTTCAAACACGGAAAAAATCTGCTTATGGTTTTGAAAACTTACACCTCCAAGGATTTGCAAGCCATTCTGAAAATTTTTAAGGTAAACTTTGTCGTTACTGTTGTTGTTACATAATCAGCTCGTCTTACGGAAGAATAAACAGTTATTGGATGAGGTTTTTTGTGATATCCGGAATAATCAAGGTCGAGATAAGTGCTATCAGCCGAGCCGAAGGCCGAGGCTGATAACACTTACCGAGACCTTGATTATTTAGGATATCACAAAAACCGAATCTAATAATTGTGACATTGCTTTGAAGAAAATAAGGACAAACACACCGTCGCAAGGAACCTGAATTGGTGTTGTTGTTGGAAATCATGCATTGCGCACGCAACCTACAGATTAGTCAGTTATCTGCTAGCAGATAACTAACTAATCTGTATGTTGCGCTGATTTCCAAAATTAACTGTAGGCTCTTAGCCAATGAGAAGACAGATAGTGAGTACACTGTATAACAACCGAGATGGAGTGAGCCAATCAGAATGCTAGAAATGCATTATCCGAATTTGAAAATTTAATAAATAGATCTAGTCAGGGCTAAAAGCGAAGCTCTCGTTAGTCTAATATCTATAGTTTACTCAAATAAAATAAAAAAATCGTGTAATGCTAAGCGGCGATGGTAACGAAAACAGTAAAAAAAATCAGTAGGTCTAATTAGCAAAAAAACAACTTTGCACGTGCAGCAAAATTTTTTTGTACATTTCTTTGCCGTTGTTTTGCACGACTACAACGCTACAACGAGAAACTTCTAGAAAATTCCTAGTTACACATTTTATGTGTTCCTGTTCACTTTGCTTTTCGCTGCCACTCTTTTTCACCTTGGGGGTAGCTAACATTTCCCCTTTTTCTCACCGCCGCTATAAATTTTTATGAGTTTCTTCCAACGAAATTGGACTCCTTTGTTTTTTTATCTCTCACCCTCTAGCTCTTTCTCTCTTATCCACGTCAATGTAGACATTGAAAGTAAGTCAAAAGAAAGA